CACAAGCGGCACGAGCGGCCAGCGCACGAGCGGCATGACCTTTGCGATGATCTCGTCGGTGCGCCCCGCGAGCTGCGCCCAGCTGATGGTGTTGTCCAGGATCGTCTTTTCGTTGAGGCTTGAGGGCGTGAAGCTCGTCGCAGTTGAGCACTTCCGCGAGCTGCGCGCACGCAAGCGCAGCATGAGTGCGGCGCAGCGTGCGCATGCTAGTGGGTGGAGTTTGCAAGCGCGTGGAGGAAGCGGGTGGAGTATGCAACCGTGTGAGTGGCTTACCGAAGCGGCGTCAAGGTCCTTGACCTTGACCGCGCTGCCCTTGTAGTGCCGCGCGACCAGCTTGGCGAAGGCCTTGGTCGCCTTGGCTGCGGCACTGCCCTCCGGCACCTCAGCATACGCGGCGTCGCGCAGGCGGAGCTGCAAGCTGGTCTTGGCGCCGGAGGTCGAGAGGCCGCGCTGCTCCAGCATGGCCTGCAGCTCGGCGACCGAGGCGCCGTCGACGTCGCAGCCGGTCGCGCACCCGCGCAGGCAGAGCAGCGAATCGACCGGAGAGAGCGGGCTCGCCACGCGCTTCGACGCGAGGAGCCAGAGGTTGAAGAGCTCGTACTGACGCTGATACTTGGACACCTCCAAGTCGCCGCCGCAGAGGAACTTGCCGTCGGAGAGGACGTCCGGAAGGTTACGGCCCAGGACGACGCCCTGCGTGTCCGAGCCAAGCACGCGGTAGGAGCCGGATGCGCGCCTCTCGTTTGTTGGCCGCTGGGGATGCTTCACCCACGAGCTGACCTTCGCCAGCACCGCGCGGCCGCCCGTATTCTCTCCCGTCAGCATGACAGAACCGTTCCATCCGAGACGGGCCTTGACCTTCGCACCGGTCGCTCCGAGCAGCCAAGACAGGTCCTGATCCGTGGGCGACCCGTCCATGGCCTGGTGAGCCGTCCACCTCTCCGAGCTCGTGTCCACCTCCAAGGACGGCAGCCTGACCGTCGACGCCTTCACGTGCGTCATGGCTTCGCAAATGGCCGAGAGGTCGAGATCCGCGAAGGCCGAGACATCCAGCAGCTTGCGTCCGGCCTCGGCCACCCCTTGTGCGGACGCCTCGCGCAGGCGCTTCCACACCTCGCTGTGTGCGTCTGCTTCGGTGTGGCGCAGGGCAGCCACGAGCATCTCGCAGGCGGTCTTGGCGCTCGCCTTTGCGCTGGCGACGAGCATGGTCGACATGGACTCCAAGATTGAGTCAAACTCCCACAGCGTGGCCAGCTCGCAGATCTCGAGCAGCACGGCGCTCTCGGTGGACGTCTGCAGCTGCTGCCCGTACAGCAGGGCCATCAGGTGGCGAAGCGCAGCGGCCGAAGCGCCCACGCCGTCACCCGTCTTTGCAATCACCTCGCCCGCGCGGGCCTCGGCCGAGTCGTCGTGCTCCATCATGCGCTTGAAGAAGCGCGACTGCGCACAGAGGTCCTGCTTGCGTGCCGGGACCTTCGTGCCGTCACCGGCGACGAGCGCAAAGTCTGCATCGAAGGCGACGGCAGCCAGAGCGCCCGCCTGGTCCTTGAGGGACTGGAGGCGCTCCTCTAGCTGGCGCAGCCGGTCGTCGTACGCCGCTCGGTTGGCGGCAGCGGTCGAGCGCAGCTGCGTGCCGCGCAGCAGGGCAATGAGCTCCGCCATCCCCTCCAGCTGTGATCCTGTAATCCTGGAATCCTACGTACGGCAGTTATACCCCTGTATCGTAGTTATGGTCCACTTTAGAGCTGTGAACGTGAACAGAGTGGTACCAGTAGAGGGGTTTGGCACAATGGCAGGGATCTACATTTGTAGGGATCCCTTATAGAGATGTTAGAGGTGGGTTAAGAGGGCGGCACGCCGCACGCTAATCTTGAAAACGTCCAACGGAGCTCCGTGTTGCTCCCAGCGCCCTCCCCCGCGCGTCTTGCGGCCATGGCCGATGATACTAGTATGAGAGGTCATCTGGCTACCGCGAGCGCGACTCAACTCGTCGACATCGTCCGATGATGGTGCCGCAAAGTCAGCCCTCGGAGGCTATGGTGGGGTCGAGCCGGCAGTAGCCGTGACATGTGGTTCCACCACCCCTCGTAGGCTTTGCCTCTGACCGCCACCGCTCCCAGGCTGCCTAATGGGATGGAAAGGAAGGCTCGGCGAGCGTATAGAAGCGTGCTCGACCTCGTCGTGGCAACCTGCATGGCAGCGCTGGTAGGCGCGATGAGCGTCGTGCCACCTGACCCGAGACGGGTCGCAGGCGTCGTACCGAGCGCGTCGAGACCGTGTCCTGATGTGATCTGCACGGGTGAGTCACGTCGGCGTCAAAGGAGCGACGTGCGACCTGTCAGAGCTTGATCTCCGATCTCAGCGGCGTCGAGTCGTCTCCGGCGGCGACACTATTGTACCTCCCCAGGACGCGCAGAGGCAGCTGCGACCCCGCCGAGTGGACGGTTGCACACCGCGCCACCTGCTGTGTGCAACCGTCTACTCGGCGGGGTGACAGCTGCCTCTGGAAGGCACCGAGAGGTACAATAGTGCGCAAATGGTGAAATCAAGGTTTTGTAACGCGAGCTGTGCCACAGTGAAATGGCACTAGCCAAGAGTGAATTGGAACTAGTGCTACTTGGATAGCACGCTTTCGGAGTACCGACGGCTAAGGCCGAGGCAGAAAAGGTTTCTGTTTTTCTCCGCTTTTCTTCACAGGATTTTCCTGTGAAGAGAGACGTAGAGAAACAGACATTTCAAACTCGGTGTCGAACCACCGGAACCGCCTTGCCCAGGCGCACAATAGTCCCCAGTCTGGCAACGGCCAGTTCTGTCATCCTGGTGCTCAAGGAAACGGGAAGCGGCGAAAGCCGACGGTTGGTAGGAATGGGGCTCCCGGCCAGATTTGGGCTTGGAGTTGGCTGCCTCGAGTTTGGATCTCGACGCGCGTCGAGAATAGGGAGGGGTGGAAGAAATGTGAAACGATTCGGATTTGTGAAACCCTCGTCTCGACTTTTTTCGCGAGCCACAGGCGCTCGCCCTGTGAGCCACAGCGCCTCCGGACAGCGTGCCGAGCGCCTGCTACAGGTTTGCCTGCAGCCCAGCCGCAATCGCTGCGGCGGCAGCTAGTCGGTTCGGCCTGGACTCGCGCGCGCCGAGATGGGAACCCAACACACGGCGCGTCGACCCGCCTCCGCTTTTGCAACAAAGTCTGCTTGGCTTGTGCAGGTGATGCCCAGAGCAGCAGAGACGACGCCGGCAGCCTCGGCTCGACCTCGAAGGCGGATCTCGTGGCCAAAAACCTGTGCTCTATTCGTCGGTGGTTCACAGTAGACGTCTGTGTAGGGCAGCTCTCGCGTCGACTATGCGCCGCCAAAGACTGTCTATGAGGGCACACCCGAGGAGGCGCCGATTTCATTACCGTGCGGCGGTGGCCAGGTCACAGGCATCGGCTGTGACACTGGAGAGTCGAGCAGCGGCACTGAACTTCCCTACAGGTCATTCCAGCGACCCACGGAGTACGGTCTCAGCGCGCAATCACTCTACTAGATCCCATCCTTGCCGGGCCTCTGCGAATGTAGGTACCGAGTTCATGCGTGGCCAGGTTGCAGGCCCATACTGCCTGGTCTCCAGCACCTATGATCACCGCGCCAGGCCGCAGTCGACGACTTTTGTGTGCGCTGGCCGCACTCAACCGTTGAGTCGCGGTGTATCAGTCTGACCACACTCGGGACCGCGTAGGCGATATGGGCGACTCTGGCCGTCCTGCATATGACCGACCATGACCCAGGAGGAGTCTACACGAGACACATCGTACATGGCTGGCGTTCTCGCGGCAGCACTATCGCGTGCGGCCGAGTGCGAGCTTCCGTGCCCGGTGCCAGACGCACTCGGCGCCAGACGTCCTCGGGAGCTCGCATTTTTGCCATACCTGCCTGCCCTCCCACTGGCTCGGCGCTCCTGGTCCCTACCCTCGTAGGCAAGGCTGAGTGACCCCGAGCTCCAGGGCGCCATCGCCGTGCTCGGCGGCGCCGCCAAGGGCGCGAAAGACGCGCTCACAAAGGACTAGACGCGCTGCTGCTAAAGAAGCCGGGCACGCTCGTCGCGAGAAGTGGCTGCCGCCGCCGTCGGGAGGGCGGCAGCCACTTCTCGCGCTGCCCAACGCGCCTTCGCCGACCGCCGCGCCATCGCCGATGCCGTCGCTCGCGCTACCGGCGCCACCGGCCGCGCGGGCCGCGCTGGCGGCGCCGCCGCCGGCCGCTGCGGCTCCGCAGAAGCGATCCCTCGCGCAGAATCGCCCTCGGTGCCGCGGCGGGCCGGGGGAGAGGGCGTGAGGGTGTCTGTGGTGGGTAGGGGCCCCTTGCCCATCGGGTCGCTGCGCGCTAGAGCAGCGGCGGCCCGCCTAGGGGGCTCAGGGCGGCCTGCCGGAGGGTGCCCCTAATGTGAAACACCTCCGGGGGAGGCCAACTTTGAGTGGTTGTGCCGAGTACTGTTTAAGGGTTGTGGGGCTGCTGTGGGCGGTTTTGGGCGTCCCTGGGGCACCCTCTGGAAGGGTCTGGCCCGTTGGTTCGGGGGGCGTCGCGTCTGGGGGGGTATTCACACCTCGAAAATCGTTTCACAGAAGGTACACCCCTCCCTACCCTCTGTATCGTAGTTATGGCCCACTTTAGAGCTGTGAACGTGAACAGAGTGGTACCAGTAGAGGGGTTTGGCACATGGCAGGGATCTACACTTGCTTTTACACTTGCTTGTAGGGATCCCTTATAGAGATGTTAGAGGTGGGTTAAGAGGGCGGCACGCCGCAGGCGGGGCGGCATGCCGCGGCTCAACTTGAGAGGAGTTCATCTTGACGGCGGTCGCCGACGCTGCTCGAACGGCAGTTGTCGACCGCCGGCAGTTGACCGGCAAGATGAAGTCCACTGCGCTCGCAAAAAATACCATCGGAACCGTCTCGCCAAGGCGCACAATAGTCCTCAGTCTGGCAAAGGCCAGTTTCTTCATCCCGGGCCGCCATGAAATAAATGGCGACTGGCAGAGGCTTGTCAGAGCAACTGGATTTCACCAAAATCCAGGGCAAAGTGTGGGAGGAAGTCTCGAGAGCAAAAGTGTAAGTCCAAGTGTGGAACGCTGCAACCCCCCCCCAGTACCTGGGTGGGTACTCTTGCACGAGTCCGCAATGCTTGCTGGGACACCCATGCTGGCCACCATCGCTCCTCTCTCTCGCTGGCTCCCTCATCGACAGTGTCAGCTCCTCGTGGACCCCTGTTGCGCACACCTGGGTCGGGACTTGCGATTCGAGCGAGTCGGCGGGCTCTGAGGCGACGATCGTCACGGTGGCAGAACAGCCAACCTCTGTTGACCTCCTCCTCCCCCTCCTCCCCCTCCTCCCCCCCCCCCCCCCCTCCTCCTCCTCCCCTTCCTCCTCCTCATCGCGCAACTGCAGAAGGCGCACCGTTGCGCGATGATGAAGGACAAGGCGGCGGCAGAGGATGACAAGGCGGCGGCAGTGGCGGCGGCAGTCGAGGCGGCAGAAGCTCTGGCAGACGACCTGCCAGAGCTTCGCGGCACCGACCCGGTGACATCCCTCGACCTCGACGAGAGGGGCCTCGGCCCCGCCTCTGCCACCGTGATCGCGTCGCTGATTGCGGGCAATGGGGTGCTGCAAGAACTTTACATCGGCGACAACCACATCGGCGACAAGGGCGCCGCTGCAATTGCCGACGCGCTGCGCGGCAACGGGGTGCTGAAATCTTCTCTACCTCAACGGCAACGAGATCGGCGACGAGGCTCGAGGGCGCCAAGGCACTGGCTTCCGCTCTGCGCGTCAACGCGGTGCTCACCAACCTTAACCTTGGCGACAACGAGATCAGCGACGAGGGAGCCGCTTCGATCGAGGGAGCCACGCTGTGCGCCAACGGGGTGCTGAACAAGCTAGATGTCTCTCGGAACGAGATCGGCCCCACCGGCGCCGCCGCGATCGCCGACGCCCTTAAGGGCAACGCGGTGCTGACCACCCTCGAGCTCGCGCACAACAATAAGATCGGCGACGAGGGCGCGAAGGCGATCGGCGGCGCTCTTGCGGTCAACGGGGTGCTGAACAAACTCTGGCTTGGCGAGAACAACATCGGCATCGAGGGCGCGAAGGCGATCGGCGGCGCTCTCGCGGTCAACGCACAACGGGGGGGTGCTGAAATCTCTCGACCTCTCCTACAACGACCATCAACGACATCGACCTCTCCTACAACGACATCGTGAGGGCGGCGGGCGCGGGCGCCGAGAGGCTGGCCTCTGCTCTGTACCCCTGGGGGCGAGGGTTCAGGCATCCCGTGACTCGCCATGTTCTGGAACTCCTCCGGACCAGCCGGGGGCGAGGGTGGGGGTGAGGGTGGGGGTGAGGGAGGGGGTGAGGGTGGGGGCGAGGGCGGAGGCGAGGGCGGGGGTGTTGGCGGGGGCGACTTCTCGACTGTCTGTGCGCTTGTGCGTCCAGACCCGGAGGTCCGGGGCGATTGAAAAAGAGGCGCCTGACCACAAGGCGCGAGAAACGAATCTGCGAGGCGTGGCCGCGCATGCGGCCCGATGGGGAGGAGCGGGGCGGACTACGGGGATCGGCCTCTTACACGGCCCTTCCTTGCAGCGAGCCCACTCCAACCCACCCGCGCTAGGTCTCGGGGGACGCAGGGGTCAGTCAGCCCCGCGCGACCTCGGGAACTAGCCGGGGCAGTCGGAGAAGGGGCAACTCCGTGCACTGACGGTCGGCCGTCAGAAACCACGCCTGCGTGGATCGCGTCACACCAATCCTCGCTACCCAACGCGGCCAAGGATATACCTCGAGAACCTCGAAAAAGGTCCTGCCGCCACCGCGCCATCCTCGCTCCTTCCTGCCGCCGCCGCCTCTGCTCAGTCGTTTGACCCGCCGCCCAATGCTCCGCCGTTCGCTGCCGTGGTCTGCCGCCGTGCCGCCGCTCCTTACCGTGCCGCTCCTTCCGCGCCTCGCCGCCCTTGCCATTTATTCGCCGTCCCTCCTGCCGTGCGTTACCGCCGTGCCGCCGTACCGCCGCTCCTACTCGAGTACAGTGCCGCGCCGCCTCCCACACGCACACACCTTACCTCCTGCTCGACCGAGTTTGCGATGAGAAGTGACCCGAGCCGCCGGGTGCCCCGCAGCGGCCTCGCTGGACCAGAAGAACCGGTCCGCGAGTGCTCCGCAGCAGCCTCGCTGAGCCAGCCAGAACGTCGTAGTGTTCTTGCTCCCAGCGCTTGCGCTTCGGCGGTTAGTGGTGCACTAACCGCCGAGAAACCCTTCGGGTCGCTCCTCATCGCAAACCCTGTCAGCAGAGTCTCCTACGGGAATGTACGTAAGAGCTACATACACTGAAAAAGAGAAAAAGCGCAATTCGTGAGAGAGAGTAACGCCGACATAGCCGACGCCCACACCGCCAACCCGACCTGCCCTGCGTCACAGAGAGAGTAACGCCGACCGGGGGCCGCACCGCCAACCCGACCTGCTCGTACTTTGGGTGCGTGCCCTCCGCCAATGTCCGCCGGGCGGGCGGGCGGCTGGCGGGGAGGCAACTGTGGCGCCTGGCGAGTGGCGGACCTTCGCGACGAGTGCGCCTTCAAGGGCCTCGACACGAGCGGCGGCAAGTCCGCCCTCATCGCCAGGCTTGACCAGCACGCCGCGCGAAGGACGGATGGGCTCGACGACTCTCCGTTCCGGCATCTGTCCGACGACGAGCACCGCGAGATCTGCGGGGTGCTGCTCGGCTTCCACGCGGCGGACGCCTTTTGCGGCAGGAGGCCCGGCTGCGTCTTCAAGACCGGCGGATGGGGCCTCGGCTACTATGTGGACGCGGCGCCCTGCGCGCGCGACCTCCTGATGTTCGGCTCCACCTGCCGCGACCTGCGCGCAATCATGATGCCGCCGCTGCAGCCGTACGTGGCAAACCAGCTCAAGCAGTTTCGCGACTTTGGCGACGCGCGGCAGCGGACCATCCGCGGCGAGGCGCACCGGTGCAGCGTCGACAGCAGTCTCGGCTCAGACCCGTTTCGCGGGATTCAGTGGGCGGGCATGCCTCGGAAGGTGGAGAAGAAGGAGCTGGCCGTGCTGCAGGCGCCGCGCCTTTCGAGGCGAGGCGAGGCGCTGGTGGACGGCGCCGCTTCACGGCTGACCTGTTCAACAGGTCGGCCTGCGCCTCGCAGCGCGGTGCGGGGTGTGCGAGAGGCACCGGCTCTCCCCCTGCCCCCCCCCCCCCCCCCGCTGCCCGCCGCCCCATCGGAACATCACGCGTAGCTGATGACGGGTCAGGCACGGGCCGCTCTTCCGGCAGGTCGTCCGCATGCACAAGGAGCTGCGGCAGTTCATCGAGAGCGAGGCGCTCGCGCGCAAGCGGAGGCAGGCGCACGGGGACTACCCGCCCCCGTTCTGGAGCAAGGCCTTCCACAAGCGCTGCGTTATTGCGGCAGGGTGGTTTTTGCAGCCCGGGCTGCCATAGGTTGAAGCAGCCGCTCCACGACAAGAGGAGCGCACCGCTGTGGCTGTTGTATAATGGAATACCATTTACCAATCTAACCAATCCCACTGTGAATCCACAGGGCTTGCACCTCAAACCCTCTCCTCTCACAGACCAGCGCACAGCGCCATAGCCCTATAGCGCATAGGATGTATTTTCTTTTCTCAATAACAAGGCTGTGAAACGCGCGCGACACCGGCCCGGGCACGTATATCGCTTAGTTGAGCTGGGGCACGCTCACAGGCGTTCCCGCTTCCCGGCGATCCCGCCGGGCCCGGGTGCCGGGAGCGGCGGGGGGCGGCGGGATGGATCCGCGCGACAGAGCGACGACGCACGACCCGCACAAAAATATAAGGGCTCGAGAGTCTCAGAGAGCCGGGCTAGTATCCCGCGAGGGAGGGAGAGCGAGGTCGGGATATTCTTGACCTCGTGTAGTTGCCGACGCCGAAAATGTTAAAAATTATGCAATTGGTCCGTCCCGCAACGTGCGTTCGCTGATCAGTCCATGCATGCTTTGCTCGCGGCTGGCCGCATACTACTGCTGCTCGTCGCCGCTCCAGCCTCAACCGAGGATGCAGTAGGAGACTTTGCAGCCGGCGAGTCCCGCGATTTGGGGTCTGGCGATGCGTCCTCTGGAAGCACCGGCGGCGCAGGCACCTACTCAGAGCGCGAGTTGGACTTCTTTGCAGGTGGAAGCCAAGACATTGATATCAGCCTCGCAGGCTGCAAGTCCTTGTTTGAGTGCTTGACGCTTTGCAAAGGCGAAGCGACTAGTGCAGCCCTCGCGCGGGTCGCAAGTCCTACGCAGGACAATGGTTGCAATGATGGGCTTCCGCTCTGGATGCTCGACCTTACCAGCCAGGTTGCGGCAGGGTGTTGCCAGGGGTGCTACTCTATGATACCCCTACCTCCATCGCCGCCGCTGCCCTCACCGCCGCTACCTCCGACAGAGTTGTCTCCGACGTCACCTCTGATCCCGCCGCCGCTGCCGCTGCCGCCGTCACCTTCGCCTCTGCCGCCGTCACCGCCGATCCCGCCGACAGATGTCGTCGCCCGCACCTTTCAAGACATTGCGCCCGAGTGGTGGCACGCCGACGCTGATGAACAGGCCTGGAAATTCGAGACGGGCCTCATCGGCGCGGGAGCATTGCTTCTCGGGCTCGGGCGGGTCGCCTCTCTCGAACCAACCGCCGCACAAGCCCGCGTGGCCGCCGCCGTGCTGCTGCTCGGCAACGCGGTCGCGTCTCCCGCGGATCCGCCTTCGTCAAACGCGTTTCCATCGCCGCCGCCGCCTCTGTCCGCACCGCCGCTGGCCCCTCCGTCCTCTTGCGACACGGCGCTAGACCTATCCACTCAAACCTCCCCGTTGTCATCGAGTACCGTCAGCGCTCCCAACACGCATGGCACATCCTGCGGCGGCTCTGGCAGTGAGAAGATCTTCTACGTCGAGGTGCCGGCAGGAGGCGAGCTCACGATCAGATTGATGTCAAACACGTACGACTCGAGGCACGAGACGCAATGGGGCGGGAGCTGCCCAGGCGACAATTCCGTCGCATGTACCGACGAACCAGACACCTTGCAGCACTCGTGGATCAACACTCACGGCTCGACTCAGACGGCGTACTTTATCGTGGACGCATTTTCGTCCGGCAGCGGCGATTTTGTACTCGCGTGGAGTGTCCCGCCGTTGCCGCCTTTGCCACCTTTGCCGCCCTCGCCGCCGCCCTACCCGCCGGGTGAGGCTCCCCTCCCTCCACCGCTGCCGCCGCTGCCGCCGCCGCCCTCTCCGCCATCGCCACCCTCTCCGCCGCCACCCTCAACGCCGCCGCCGCCGCCCCCGCTCGGTTTCTCCAGCGTCCCGACGCCCGAGCCGACGCCCGAGCCGACGCCCGTCCCGACGCCCGAGCCGACGCCCACTACGTGGGCGTACTACAGTGGCGAGGAATACCTGTTGAGCGACACCTGCACGGGGGATTTTTGGACTTGGAACGGCACGGTCGCGACAAGCGAGAACGAGGCGGCTGACGCATGCGACGGCACCAAGGCGTGCCGTCCCGATGGCCCGCCCGTCGATTGCGTGGGCGCGGCGGCGCAAGAGTGCGGACGCCGCTGCAGCCAGTGCCTCGCGCCGGATGCGACCACCGACGCCAACGGCACCTCCTGCGAATCCGGCCCGTGCAATGCCTGCCGTGTGTTCCGCTCCTGCGCCACGGGGGGGGCTGGCGCGGAGGGAGACTGCAGCTGCTACGAGCAGGCTGGCGCGTACTACGTCGGTGGGCCCTTCTGCTATGACCCGGCCGGCTGCTGGGAGAGTTCCCCGGTTGGCTTCCCCACGCTGCTCGCGGACCGGGAGCCCATCACGTCGGCCGCGGACGCCGACTGCAGCTCCTTCTCGCCCAGCGCGGAAGGCACCAACGTCTTCTTCCACCCACGGTACTGCTACACGTCGCCCGGCTGCTACGCCGCCCCTACCGGAGACATCACGCTGCTCGGGCCGCCGTGCGCCGCGCCCCCCCCGTGCTACGCAGCGGACGGCTGGAGCACGAATTTTGACTGGTGCAATTTCTCGGGGCCGGTGCCCATGCTCGAAACCACGTTCTTCGATGGCAGCGACAACTGCAGCACGACCGGTGAGAGGTACAGCATGGTCGCAAACGGCACATGCGTAAACCACGGAGACGGCTCGTCTGGCATCTACTACTGTGTGATGCCCGACGACCCTCTCGGCGCCTCGCGAGTGCACTGCCGGCCAGGCGCCTCTCCCAGAGGCCCGCGACGTGTCACGACACTGCGCCGTAGGCGCGTCCGCGCTGCCCTCTCCGCCGCCGTTGCCGCCAACGCCGCCCTCTTCGCCGCCGCCGCCCTCTACGCAGTTGCAGCTGCTCGTCGCCGCCGCCGCTCCAGCCTCAACCGATGATGCAGTAGGAGACTTTGCATCTGGCGAGTCCCGCGATCTGGGGTCTGGCGAAGCGTCCTCTGGAAGCACCGGCGGCGCAAGCACCTACTCTGAGCGCGGGTTTGACTCCTTTGCAGGTGGAGGCCAAGATACAGCGGGAGCGCCCTCGGATTCGGCCCCTGAGTCGGCGACGCCAGCACCGACCCCGGACAGCGAAGGGGGAGGTGATGACACAGGCACGTCCTCCGAGCCACCCACTCCCCACGACAGCTTCCACGCTGAGCGTGGTGTTAGTGCCGACGACATCGCAGACACAGAAGAGAGCTCATCAGGCAACGGACTAGACGCAGGTGCGATTGCTGGGATCGTAATCGGCAGTCTGGCCGGTGCTTTGCTGTCAGCGTGGTGTGTGTGGGCTTGCCGCATTGGCTATCTTTAGAGATATTGCAAAACGAGGGCTATGCCTCCCCACTCTCGACGGCCCTGTACATTGTGTCCTCCTCTGCTCCCTACGCGCTGCCATCAGAACAGCGATGCGTCCGAGTCTGCTAGCAACAACGTCTTGTCAGGGATCTGCAGCGGCATCGCGTCGAAGCGTGAGAACTTGAAACGGGTCGCGTACGGTGTCCCCACCTCGTACATGGTCGCATCGCCCTCGATTGCGCCTATGGCCGCAAGACGGCTCGTTCGGAGCGCGGCCGGGAGGGGCCTCGGGCATCGGGCATCGACGCTCCTTCCGCCATGGCCGACGTTCGAAAGTGGCCTGAGCTGGGGTACACGTCTTTCTTGCCTGCCACGGGGTGGGTGGGTTGATGTCAGACCCAGCTGGCAAGAGCAGGGCGGGAGAGGGCTGTCACGTATAGCAGGAGAAGACGTGGCTCGGAGTCGCAGTCACTCGGTCAGACTAGACGTGGTGCTCACCATAACGTGGGATGGGCGACGAGAACGACTGGCCGAATATGCCTAGAACCAGAGAAAGGCGCCCTTGCGCGTCACTGCCGCCAATTGGGTGGGTGCATACTGGGATGGCGGACGCACCGTGCGGCCGGCTGCGCGCGGCAAAGTCGCCCTTGGCTGAGAAGCCAATATCGAGCCGATGCGCGGGGCCAATGGTCGCCTTGGTCGGGGCGCCTACTCTCGAGGCGGCCCGGTGGGTAAAGGCAGGGGAGGGGGAGGGGGGGGACTTGGTGCAAGGGGAGCGGGCGCCCTTTACGGCGATGCTCCAGTTGCCAGCCGAGAACGAGGCGCTCGACAAGTGCACCTGTGCTGGGTGCAATCGTTCCATCGGCTGGGTGGCGACTGGGCCAGGGGTTGTCACGCCTATCGCGTGCTGTGCGCGCAGCCATACCCCCCGTGGCTTCAGCACACCTTGACGACGAGATCCTCGCACGTCTTCTGCCCGCCGCGACCGAGCTTGAACGAGTGGCCGCCGCAGAAGCCCCTGATGACACGGGTGCCAACGTTGTTTTCGTCGAGCTCGCTGGCGTAGTAGGAGACGTTGGCCCACTTGCGCTTGTCGCCACCGACGAGCGCGACGACGTGGACCTCGGTGATGAACGTGCCGTCCACGACGATCTCCTCCGCGGGCACCGGCTGGTATAGCGGGAAGGTCGCCTCCTCCGTCTTGAGGTTGACGGCGAGGCTTGGTGCCGAGAGGAAGCAGTAGAGCTGTCCGTCTTTGCCTCGAAAGTCCGCGCGCCCTCCGTGCGCAAAGTGCAGGTGCGGGTCCTTCTCGACGCCCGGTTCTGGGATGGGGGGGATCGCATCCCCGTCCATCGTAACCGTGGCTGCCTCTCGAGCACCTGTGGTGAGCTCTCCAGCGTCGCGCACCACCCTGCACCGTTCTTGGTCCACGATCTTGAACCCGCCAAGCTCGTCCTGGTCGGTGCCAACCGTCGCAACCACTGTCGAGAAGTCGCGACCTTGCCTCAGCAGGTGAGCCTGGCCTGGACCAGTGGCAGTGTCGTCGTAGGCCGTATCCATGTAGACCGCGCCGACGCACACCCTGCTCGAGCCTCGATTCCAGTTGGCCTCGCGCGCAAGCGGGGCGCACTGACTGTTGCTATCGGACTTGGGTGGCATTACGACCTCGTCTTCGAGCGTGATTTCTCCACAGTATCCACTACCCAGATCAGCCGCGCCAGCAGAGCGTTCGCCGCCGAATCCCGGATTGAACGCCGGCACGGCGGAGCATTCTTTCTTGTCAAACCTCGCCTTGATGCTGCGAGACGGTCCCATCGCGGTTGAGTAAAACTTCATGGATCCTTCGTTGAAAAAGTTGTCGTAGCGGCTGTAGCAGCTGGTATCAGCGCAGCTGAGTCCAACGTTGATCTTCATTCCCTTGTCCATTGTCAATGGCAAGCCGCACTGCGCGTTGTCTTGACCTGTATAGTACGACTCGTTGTCAAAGCAAACCATCAAGCTGAATCGGTCGCCGGCCATCAGTTTTTTCTCGTTGCAAATCGTGGACGTTGCCTCGGACCGCGGCTGCAGGGGTGGGCATGGGGTCAGCAGGGCTTTGACGTTGGCAGAGCAAGCCATATGTCTCGACGAGACAGCAGACACTCCCCCCAGCCGCGATCGCGGCTGCGACGGCGCGCCGTTTTGGTGGATGGTGCGCAACGCGAACGTGAGTGATTGCACGATGAGTTTTGGGCAACGACCAACGTAATTCTTGGCTAAAATGAGAAATCAGAGATCAGAGAGCGAAATTAAAAAATGCAGCGGTGCGAGTCGCGGGAGGACGACCCCGGCTCTAGTCGCCGACCACATACCCACAAAGGTCAAAGCAGAAAACCCCCACGCCCCAGCTCGCAGCTGCACAAAAGATTGCACGGGCCGGCGGGACCTGTTCCTTTTTACCCATCTCACAGTAGAGGTGTCCGTTTTTATTTATTTATTTTACAGGGGTCGTTGTACACGCCCATTCGGATCTCGAGAAATAAAAAGCGGCAACAGTGGAGAGAGGTTATCACGCGCGCGGTCCTCCGCCTGCACGATGCACGCGAGAGCGACGCGAGGCTAGCGACAAGGCCTCAGCGAGGCAGCGAAAGCCGCGCCGCCCCAATGCTGCAGTGGCCACGGCCGCGCCCGAGCTGCTCGTGCGCCAAGCACCAGCGGCGGCCTTGGCGGGCACGGCCGTGGGGGCGGGCGGGAGGCGGCCCGGCAGCAGCCTCCCGCGAGGCCCGAACGCGAGCTGCGCAAAGCGCTGCCCCATGAGCTCGTATCCGTCCGGGGAGGGGTGCAGCTGGTCCGGCGCCAGGCCGGCGGCAAAGTCGTCCGGCCCGAAGAGGTCGAGGCCACTCGCGTAGGCGATCCGGTCGTCGCCGCGCCGCTGGAGCAGCCCCACCACCCGCTCGAGCTCGGTCCGCATCTGGCTCAGGGTTGGGTAGCGCGGGTCTACCGCCTCCCGGTCAGGCGCCACGATGAGAGCCGAGCAGGAGCCGTCCTCGCGCCAGCCGGAGCCGTGCACGGGGGAGAGGACGAGGAGAGGCACGGTCGGGTGGCCGTCGCGGACCGTGGCGAGGAAGCCGAGCGCGGCCTGCGCAAAGCTGCGCAGCGAGAGGGAGCCGTAGTTGTGCACGTTGATGCCTGCTCACAGGGGGGACCTCCTCTAGGTGTGAACAGCGCGGAGCATAGCTTTGCGATGCGATGCGATGCCGAGCTTGAGCGAGATTGCTGCGACGCCATCGAGGTCGCGAATGGTGCGCGCCACCGCCTGGTCCAGGTGGCACTGGCCGCTGTAGCCGAGGTTGAGCAGGTTGAGCCCCGCCTCGCGCGCCGCGACCGCCGGCCACGAGCGGCTGGGGCTGCGCGCAGAGCCGGCAGGGCAGCCGGGGCCGGAGAAGATGGCGTCGAACCCGGTGCCGTGCGAGATGCTCGAGCCGTGTGTCACCCAGAGCGGCCGAGGGTCCGGCGCAGGCGCGAGCGACGCCCCCTCGTCCAGCCAGAAGCCAGTCACCACCTGCGGGCCGGCCGTCGACAGCCACAGCTCAAAGACGCGCTCCTCGCGCGACGCCGCCGGAGCAGCGTCCCCGAACGTGATCATTAGCTCGCTGCCTTCGTCTCCAGCACGCGCCATCGCCTCGGGGAAGCGCGAAGGTACCTCGGACAGTCCAGCGAGCGCGATGGGATGCTCCGGATCTTCGACGTGAGAGGCGACGAACGCGCCGTCGACGAACAGGTCGTAGTCGTATCGACAGTACGTGCGCAGGCGACGCACGCGCAGTCGCAGCGAGCCGGTGTCTGAGCGGAATCGGATCCGCACGCCCGAGGCACCACCCGCAGACCGGACCAGATCTGGATGGAAGAGCTCGACGTCTTTTACCGGCAGGCGCCACGGCTGCACGCCGTCGGGGTGCTGCTGAGTGGAGACGCAGCCGTCAAAGTGGAGGTCTTCGAGCGGGACGTCTCGCATTGTGCATTCTTCAGTCCGCGCCAGTCCGCGCCCTCGTCGTGCCAGTGTGGTGTGAGAGAGGCTAGTGTCCTAAGAATTCTTCGTGGGGTTCGGACTTTTGCCGGGTGTGGTATGGTTGCTCGCGCAACCCACCTCGAGACCATACCCCCCCGCCTGCTGACAGACCCAGCCTCCCGGAGACCGGGGATGGGCGGTCAGGACCATACCCCCCCACCCTTTGGGCCGTGAGAGTACCATACCATACCCCGCAAAATCCAAAAAGTTGGAAGGCCTGGTCGCCCTGATAATTCTTTTGCGTTGGGAGTTGTGTTGTAAAATTCTTTTCTTGGGGGTGACCCTGCGCCTAACTCCAGACGATTCTTAGGCGCGCGTTCGGAGTTCAGAAGTTTGTCAAGGGGTCAAGGTTGAACACAGTATCGACACCGTAGAGTCACCCACAACACGCAAAAGTCACTACTGTCCCCACAGACTACGTCAAGAGCACTCGTTGCGCGCATTGTCCCGATGAGATCCCCCGTGTGTGCACGTTGGTGGAGCAGGGCGCATCTCTTGATGTGCGCGCGAGGCCACGCGGCCACGCCTTCCCTCACGGCGAGTCGCCACTCGCGGGCGTCGACGGCACATCTTCGAGGAATGGCGGCTGCGGGCGGGGCGCTCGCTTCTCCGCTTGGCGGCGGAGGTAGCCGCGGACGAGGCCGGCGGCGAGGGCGAAGGCGACGCAGCCGATGCCGGCGTACGCCCAGCCGACGACGGAGGCGCTCTTCGCGACGACGCACTCGTCGGGCGAGCTCTCCGTGTACGAGTCGCAGTCGAGCGGCGCGAAGCCGTTTGGCCGCCCGTCGCGTGCCGACGTGTCGTCGCGGCTGCAGATCGGGATGGCGGCGGCGAGGCAGGCGGGGCAGATCTGCGACTTGCAGCCAAACTCGGAGGCGTCCGCCTGGTTGGCGATGATGCCGCCGAGTGCCCAAGCGGCCACCTAATTTGTGGAGACCGGGAGGGTGGGGTGTCATGCATGTGCGGCACGCTGCAAGCTAGGCCCGCTGCACCGCCGCGTAGACGGGGTCCGAGTACTCAAAGGTGGCGGCGCACGCGACGGCGACCGCGACGACGAGCAGGCCGATTGCAAAGTCGGGCGAGGGGAGCCACCCCTCGTCGAGGAGGACAACCTGGATGCCGAGGCAAGAGGCGACTGTCACCCACGACGCGTTTGCAGAGAAGGCGGCGGCGGCGAGCTTCGAGGCGGCGGAGCGGCGCGACGAGAGCTGGTTGACGTCGAGTCGGCGGAGGACGACGAAGAGGAGCGCGTCGTAGACGAGGATCACGACCTGCGAGGCCCAGTAGACCTCGTACCCGAAGAGGAAGAGCCACGCCGAGTTGGCCGCAAAAAGGGCCAGCACCGGGCCTCGGATCTTGGCGTACGACGGCTCGCGCAGGCCGCCAAAGCGCTGGAAGGGCAGCGCCTGGTACACGACAAAGAGGCCCTCGAGCGTGTAGATGATGCCCCAGATGGCAAAGGCCCAGCCGATGGGAAGGCCGTAGACGGGGTGCGTGTGCGCAATCTGCAAGTGGACGGAGGGTTTGGTGGTCAGTCCGCGGTGGGGCGAGCGGCGTGGCAGCTCGAGCGTGGCAGCGGCAGCGGGTCGAGCGTGGCAGCGGCAGCGGGTCGAGAGTGGCAGCGGAAGCAGCAGGGCGCCTCTGTGTTTGTAAACTTGACGGCCCCGAGGTTGTTGTCGGTGACGAGGTAGTTGGCGATCGCCATGGCGACAAAGGCGAGAACGACGGCCGCGGCCGGTAGACCGGGCGAGGGCGGCGGAGTCTTCATTGGCACGGTGGTGGCGTCTCCGTCCGTGTCCAGCCAGTGTAGTGACCTACGAAGGGCTTCGAAAGAATTTTACCACTAAGCCCCCTCTCGAGGTTCTCGAGGTGGATATCCTTTGGCCGCGTTGGGTAGCGAGGATTGGTGTAACCCGAGCCACGGAGGCGTAAACCCCCTCGCACAACTCTGCGCACGGGACTGGCGCGAAAGAAAGATCTCGACTTCGCTCCGCCCGAGCGGCGCGCCCGACGGAGAGAGACGGCGGCCCACTTGCGCGACGTTGTGCTGCCAAAGCACTTTGCGAACCTGGAGCGGCTGCTGGCGTGATGAAGCCGGGCATCGTTGGAGGCGACTTTGGAGGCGAACGCGAAGATAACGTTCCTCCTTGCAAGTTGAAAGAAAAAAGAAAATCCCCGTCAAGATGGCGCCGCGATTTCGCCCTGTTCGACGGGAGTTCTCGCTGCGCTAGGCTCAGACGGGAGTTCGCGCTGCGCTAGGCTCAGACGGGAGTTCGCGCTGCGCTAGGCTCAGACGGGAGTTCGCGCTGCGCTAGTTCGCGCTGCGCCCCCCTGCCTGCGCTATCTAGGCTCAGTGTACACGCGAAAAATGCTCGCCGCCGCTGTGGTCACCGCGGCGTCGCCTGACCACCTCGTCGTGCTCCAGCACGGCCTCTACGGCGGCGCTTCCAACCTTGCCGTCCTGCGGCAGTGCCTCGTCGGCATAGGCGGGGACAACGTGCTGGTGCACCTCGCCTCCGCCAACGAGGGCATGACCCGCGACGGCGTCGCTGCCGGCGGCCGGCGCCTCGCCGCCGAGATCCGCTCCGTCGCCGCGTCCGCTCCGTCGCTCGAATCGCTCTCGCTGGTGGGAAACTCGCTCGGTGGGCTCTACGTGCGTGCGGCGGCGGCCGAGCTGTACGGCGGCGGGCAGCAGGAGCTCGGCCTCGCTCCCAACACATTGGTGACGACAGGGTGCCCGCACCTGGGCGTGCGCCGGTACACGTACCTGCCGCTCCCTCCCGCGCTGCACTCGCTCGGCGGCCTGGTCGCCGGCCGCACCGCGTCCGACCTGCTGCTGCGCCGGACCGACGCGGACCCGCGCCGTCCGCTCCTCGTCGAGATGGCGGACCCCGACTCGAGGTACGGCGTGGCGCTGCGCTCCTTCCAGCGGAGGCGGCTGTACGCCAACCTGCGGGGCGACTTCATGGTGCCGTTCGGCACCGCCGCCATCGAGACCGGCGGCTGGGCCGCGGGCGTGGGCGACGGGCGCCTCGTCGCGCGGTTTGCGGCGCGGCGTGACGTGGTCTTTCGTGATGTGGAGGTGTGCGGAGGCCGCGCCGACGGCATCGGCGTCGTGTGCGAGCAGCGGCAAGAAAGGGCGGAGGAGGGGGCGGAGGGGGCGGAGTGGGAGGAGGAGATGCGGGCCGGCCTGTCGGCGGTGGCGTGGGACAAGGTGGGGGTGAGCTTCCGCGCCGCCGGCACGCTGACACCGCTCGCGCACAACAAGCTGCCCGCGCTGCGGCGCGAGGGGTGGAGGCGCGCCTTCGAGTGGGTGGAGCAGGCGCAGGAGGGCGTGCCGGTGATGGAGGACGCCGCGCGGTTCGTGGTGGGCGGCCGGGGGCGAGGGGGCGAGGGTCGCGGTGGGGAGTCTTCCTCGTAAAGCAATGAAAAGGGAGACGAGAGGGAAGGGGGCGGTCGTGATTGCGCGAGCAGACAGGAGAAGGAGCAATTCCAAAATGCTGACCGGCGACGGGCGCTTCCTCCCCTTCCACCACAGGACATCCTCCGCCTCCTCAAGACCGGCGAGGCGATTCCAAAATGCTGACCGGGTTCGATTACCTGGTACGGTGTGGTAAAATGTCTCATTTGCCCCGAGATCCAGCTCCTCAGGTGGGCGCCCCGCACCTCTCATCGGCCCGCTGTGGCCGCCGCGCTGAGGCGCGCCGCCGGGAGGCGCACCGCAGGCTCACTCCGCGCCTCCCGCCCTGCCCCCCCGCCGCCGCAGACCCATGTTCTCTCTGCTGCTCGCCGCTGCGCCGGGGCTCAAGGGCCCGATGCCCCGCCTCGAGCGCATCACGACCATGGCCCCGGCCGAGCTGCTGCGCAAGATGCCGGCGGCAGCGGCCGCGGCGTCGGTCGCGCTCCACGCCGAGCTTGCCCACGCCAAGTCCATCCAGGGCATCAACGGCGCGCTGGACTTTGGTCCGCTTGCGGGGGATCAGCCGGGCGGCGAGGGCACTGGCAAGGCCCTGGGCATCAACGACGACTCGCTCTTCTTCGCCCTCGGCGCGGTGGTGCTCACGGTCGGCGTGCTTTTCGCGCAGTGG